GATAGATAGATAGATAGATAGATAGATAGATAGATAGATAGATGCTTGTCCCTTCTGTTATTTTAAATTCTAAACATCACAGTATTTTACAGGGTTTACAGTGATAATTGCATTATGCAAAAATGTCTCTCAAATAGATCTAGCCAGTTTAGTCCAATTCTTTCAAATCGGTGAGACGGAGGTCCGGTAGACTCAGGTTGAGAGGAAAGGTCACCATCTCCAGCAACAACTCCAGGATGCTAACCTTCAGCCTCTTGCTACGTGTGCTCTCATCAGTTATCTCCTTCTTCAGGATGAAAGTTCAGTGAGCCAGGCAAGCAGGAGGAGAGGAACCAGAGCAGAACTGGTTGTTCCTCTTGGAAATGCTGTTGTCCAATTTAGCTATCCCTGCTGAATTTATGTATAGCTGTAGGTTCTTAGACTGAAGTGACTAGAGATATCTTTGCATTGTTTATTGGGAGTAAAAATTGAACTCCATTGTTCACTCATACTCATTTTGTAAAATGAAGATGATTTGGCTCACTAGTTCTTTTCATTTTTTCAAGTTGGGCTTAGGGTGCTTGATTTTTTAAAAACTTAAAAAAAAAAAATTAATTGAAATTTCCATGCGAAATTTCTCGCATGGGAAAAGTAAAACAAGTGAAGTAATCACAGTTACTCAGGTAATAACATTGTCTCTGCTAGCTTTTTTCCTGGTCTCCTGAGGAAGTCAGGGTTAGAAGACTCTGGTTCAATGCTTCCGCTCTGGGGTATTTTCCCAGGGAACAGATAAAGTGATTGTCAGGGTAAAGTAGCACCAACAAAAATATGTCATTACAATGAACTGAGATAATTATAACCTGAACTTTCCTTGGACTGCAAATTGAACTTCATTGTTCCAACTGTTTTGAGTTTTTTCACGTAACTGGGACTGGAGAAATGTTGAGGTTTTACTTTATGGTCCCTCTCACAAACAGAGACTCTGTTGGACAGCTCTGCCAGAAGAGAGGATACAGTATTTGGTTGAAATAATGTATCCTTATTGTGAGAAGTCTGTACTACTGTATAAGCTCAGTACATACATTTGAGATATAGCAGCTTGTCTCGTGTTTTTGCATATGCAGTAGTCATTTGTGCAGTAATTAAATGCAAGCTTGGGATCAAAGCAAAGTACTACATTTTCAACCATGTGATTTCATTGTTAAATCTCCAAAAAGATAGCTTCTCATTTATATTTGCTTGTAATTCTGGTAAAATGCCAAATTTTGTGTGTGTGTTACCAAATTCTGTGGGTGTATGAAATTATTGCTCACTCAGCTCAAAAGAAAATTCCAGTACAATGTGTTTACAATTCTTTGGTATTTTTATCTGGTACTTTATAACCTGCTTAATACAGATTGAGTGGTTTATATAAAGTGTTTCCTTTAAATGAAGTTCTGGTATAATAATCCACAGTTATATTTTCAGGTTCGCATTTTCACCTACCTGATAGGAAGAGAAGCTGCCTTTGCAGATAACCTCAAATGGATGGCTTGTGCCAACAAAGGTGGGTTTCATTTCCATGCAAAATGTATTTATCCACTCTCCTCTGCTTTACTCATCTTGGACCTTTAATGACGTGGCTTGAAGCAAAATGGAATAAGGGCAACAAGAGTCCTTGTTACTGTTTAACAGGATGACACATGAATACAGGTAGTCCTCGGATTATGATGATAATTGGGAATGGAATTGTTATTACTAAGCAACATGGTAATGTAGCACAATGTCATGTGACCATACTGCTTAGCAACGGTAGTCCCAGTTGCCATTATTAAGCAAGAACTGTGTGGGTTGTTAAGCAAGGACCTCATGTGACCACTACTTCTGACTTCCTGCTGCTTCCCCATAGACTTTGCCTTTGGGAAGCTGGCAGGGAACATCAGAAACCACTATCATGTGTCTGTGGCTCACTGTGACATCATAATTGTGAGCCAGGCACCAAGTGCCCGGATCGCAATCATGTGACTGAGGGGATGCGGCAACAGCCAGAACTTCGAGGACCAGTCGTAAGTCCCCCTTGTTCAGTGCCATTGCAAGTTTGAATGGTCACTGAACAACTCTGTGGGCACAATATTATGTGGAATCTATGTTTCACTGTTCCATATGTAAATCTTTCCTGACAGGAAGAATAAAACCATTACAAGCATTCCAGTAAAATGCAACTGTTTGTTTCAAAGTAATGCATTTTATTTTCAAGGGAAATGAAGTTGTTCTATCAACATCATTCAATTATCATGATTCCCACCAACTTTGTAGATGTAATGAAAAATACTGGGTTTTAGCCTGTAATGTATTACGCCACTTTGATTCTGCTGCCTAAAAGAACATCTAGAAGAGAATATATGCATCGCAGGGCTGAACTGTGGAGTCCTTGGTACTCTCTGAGGTTGGTTGTTTGCTTGCAGATGTTTCATTACCCAACTTGGTAACATCATCGGTGCTGTGTGGGGTTTGCTCCCTGTTTATATACAGTAGCTTGCCCTGTCAGTGTTTGTGGGGGTGTGGTTTTTGTCCTTGGTAGTTCCTTCATTAGGGAATTGTTTGTCTGCTTGATTGTTGGTCTGCTTGATTGTTG